ACACTTGTTCAAATGTCTTTGATCTTAGGCAAACACCCTGTTGGAAAAGCATCGCTGCACAATTTGTTTGAGTTTCCTCAAGAGCAAAACTGCCTCTTCTAAGCCACAATAAACACCCAAGGTTTACAATAGCTGCACAAGGTGGTAAATAGGGAGTGCAACGTCTACGGGCACCACTCAAAACAATGTTCACGTGCAACAGCAGCATTTGTTCGATCTGAAAGCTTCCCCACCAGATAACAACCCGGCAAGTCACAGCAAGAGCTGGGCGGTTGCTCTCACACGGCTCCATCGGCATTTCTGGAGGCACCGTGTGGTTGTGCTGCAGGCACGTCCTGGCCCCTCGAGGAAGGGGTACTCAAGACACCCGGTTTCGGTTGAACTGCATTATAGGTTTGTAACTAAGGATGGGACCGAATCCAAACCCTGACTTCCAAGTGATCTGGAAAAGAGTTTTCACTTGGCTCCTTTAGCAAAATCACCAGAACACCAGCGCCTCGGGGAAGGCTGGGATCTCAGCAGGGTCTGGAAGGACGCAGTCCAGCCTTTGCACAACATACCCCGATGTCCATACAAAAGCTCACCCAAATGATTTCCGCAGTCGGGCTCATTCAAAGCACTCCAGGCTCCTCCAGCACAAGTTACATTTCTTGCCTTGCTGCTGGTTTGAATTTACTCGCTGGAATAAGCATCCACTGAACTGTGCTGAGCCACAGCCACGTTGGAGAGCCCAGGCCAACTTTTTTCTGGCCACACAGACCAGGATGTGTTTACCCAGAGCTCAGAAAAATGATTAAACTTTTATTTTAGCTCAAAGGAGAGACCAAGGGGTCACCTTTAAGCTAAGGGTGGTATAAATAGAGGCTGAGTGAAAAAAGCAACGTACAGAAAGCCAGAGGAGTGCTCTCTCCAGGAGGGAGGAGAAAAGCAAGCCATCACCCCGAGCAGACACGTATTTAATAGAGCAGGTTAATAGGGACCAGGGTCCAGGTCAGCCCCATTCTTCAGCCCCGTCTGTCCCACCTCCATACGGATGTGGGCAAGTTCACAGCTGCCTCAACCTACATATTCATGTATATTCGTGCCACGGGATGCAACGGCATGCCTTCGGCAGGCAGAGCAAAAGCCAAAACTTCTGCAACACGCCTGGCCCTGAGCTTTCTCCTGCTCTCGTATGCTGCTGCCAAGTCTCTGTCAAAGAAACTGCAGGGAGGGAAAG